AACATATTTCGTATATAATTATATATTTTTATATGTTTATATATATCTATATATGTTCTTGTGTAAACAATTTTTACCGGGTTATACGATAGATACAATCAATTATGTATAGTACATTCATGATCCGAACTATAGTATAAAATAAAAAGAGACTGATAGAATATAAACGTGCGTGCAATGAAGACAACCATCTCAGTCGTAACAACTTTGCAGAGTAAAATATTTTATTTTTTGAGGTTGGCCAACAATGTTTTGAACGGTCAGAAAACAAGCGAGAGGGCAAAGAATTAGAGAGAGACGCTTGCAAACTGAGCCCACCATGCTATCCCTTCCACCATGCCCACACCACAGGCGCGACGGGCGTACCGTTCTCCCCCAGTCCTCGCCGCGCGCCCACCAACCGCTCGCCCGTTCGCACGCTGCACGCGAGTCACGGGGATTTCTGCGGGAATTCGCCACGCCACCGGGCCATGGACGACGTTCTCGAGAGCTGGGAGCAGATAGAGGAGTCCGGCGTAAGGCCCATCCCTTGAATTTCGCTCGCCGAATACCGGAAACCAAGCACGGCCTCGCACCTAACCTATAACCTCCTTTGCGGGCTCCGACTCGTTCCCTCGACGACGACGAGATCTCCGTAGGCCTGACGTCCGGTCGCGTTTTCTCACACTGGAGGCGTCTCGACGCCTCGTACTATCCGTCGTTCGTCGCACGCCACTCCTAATTGTTAGACTGACACGCGCGATTGTTAATCGTAGTACTTTGTGCTACCATAAGGACACGTTTTTCGCACGAAACGCGTGGAGTCTTTTGAACTTGCATGAGAAACGACTTCTTTTCCTGATACATTTCTTAGTTGAGATCTCGTTTCGGAAAATCACTTATTGTCGCGTGTCACGGAAGAGGGATGGTAAAATTGTGATGAATTCCAGGCGCTCGACAAAAGACTGGAGGCCTTACGGTTGAACACAGAGGACGAGATAGAATCTACCAGGTAGGACTTTGATAAACGTAGGGTTGTTTTTCGCTCAGAAATATCATATGTAATGTATTCAACAATGTTTCGAATGTTAAAAAATTTCAGAACCAGCCACGACGCAAACACAAGGATGATCATATTAGGGGAGGATGGCCTTCGATCTCAGTATGTACCTCCAAAGCCTATGGTGAAGATATTGAAGCGACCCACCGCAGACTCGCGGGGCAGCGGCGACGGCCCACTGAATGACGACAAACCTAAGCAACCTATCAAATCACTAAAACAGGTATATATATAATTCAATTTGTTCGCTGAATCCCATCTGTATTCCGAGACACGCAAATCGTTGAACGCAAAATGGAATTGTTCCTCAGCGAGAGCAAGAATACGCGGAGGCGCGCAGGCGGATCCTAGGGGAGGAGAAGAGCCCAGAGGAGAAGACGGCGCAGGAGATCAACAGAATTCAGGCGAAGTCGAGCACGCCGAACGGCAACAATATTCCCAGCAACGTCGTGCGCATGCCCGCCGGCCCGGACGGTACCCGGGGCTTCAACGTACGCAGGTAGCGCGTCTTCCGAACGACTCTTTCCACCCATCTTCTTCCTCTCCTTCCTACTCGCTGCCACGGGGAAGGAGAACGGCTATGAGGCCGACGATGAACACGTGAATAGCTTCGCGCTCGCCCGAACCAAGAGCGAAACTTGAGATATTCTCGGAGCGCTGCGTCCTGCGAAAATTGCCATGCGTAGACTCAGCCCAGCAACAAGGATCGAGAACCGAACTTAGACATGCGATCCGAGCGGAAACGAAATGCCAATGTCATGCCGCATTCTGTAGGTGCTCTCTTACGTGACAGAAAAAGAGGAAAAACAACGGAGAAATAATTATATTTATGTTTATATGGGGTGTTAGGTACACAGAGTGATTACAAACAGCGTCCAGTAATTGTGTAGCGTTATTTCTTATAAAAGAAACTTAATCGAAAGGTTCCGAACCATTTTCTTTCTATATATTTAGCTCTATCTCTCGTCGAAATTTTCTCTAGGGAGATGCTTCCGACGAAAGGAATATGATTGTTAATGTAACTTCGCACTGCCGCTAGCGTGCAATATTCTTACATGTAATAATGCGAAAAATTTTGTATTAAAAATCACGTTTCTTTCATCAGAAACACCTCCCTAGAAAAAAATTTCAGAATAGAAATGGAGCTATTTGTAGAAAAACTTAGAAAAATAGTTTCTGGACTTTCCGACTGAGTTTTGTATGAGAAATAACGTTATATAATTAGTGGACGCTTTTCGAAATACACTCTGCATATACATTACATATAGATATGCTCGTAAATATAATTATTTGTTTTCTGCATAAAATATGTAAAGCGGAATTGCGATTTAAATAATGCAATAGGACGAAGGCGTGGATTTGTTACGAAGAAAGATACGAGAATTGCTTCAGTTTGTATACTTGTATAATAACTGAAAATATCTAATGGATTGTGTAATAAGTATCTTTGTACTGTGTAATAAAATAATTTCCTGTATATATACACGTATGTTATACACATGTACAAGCGACAACTGTATGCGATATGTGAAACGTTTTGTTATTAAATGAAAGATACTTTTAAACATAAATTTTTTTTTATTGACTTCTGGTCTCGATGCGATATAAAGGTAATACAGATGTGAAAAAAAAGCTACTTATTGTTAGTAATTTTTTATGTGTTCGAATTATCGAAATTCTTGTGCCGTACGCCACACATTGTTCGAATTTCTCTGAACTGTCTGTTTATAAATTACACACACAGATTGTACAAGTTGGAGTTATCTTCTCAGAGCGACAGTCATGACTCACGAATGTCTAGACGCGGCGCGGATATAGTTATCTTCTAGCGTGTATAAAGAGCTTCCCGAATCCGAGATGCACCGAAGATGAATTTACGCCTGGTGGGTGGTAGCCGCTCGAGCGTGATAACGTCCGTGCGTGCGCACGTGCATGTGTGTGTGTGTTGTGTATGTGTACGCGCAGGCACGCTCGGACTCATGTGCACATACGTCATGGCGCATGTCAGATCGCGCGTGTGTCAGTGCCGCTATCAGCCTCGTCTGCCCGCAGGCACGGATATTTCTCGCGGTTTCGCGAAATGATGTTTCGCGAGTCGTCCGCGTAAATAGAGTGTCCGGGTGCCAGAAGTGCCGCGTCCGTTGTGTCGCCAGCCGGGAGCCGTGAGGATGGCGGAGTCGAGCGGACCGATTCTTCATGTCATCGTCGTCGGGTTTCACCACAAGAAAGGCTGCCAGGTAGAGTGACGACAGGCCGAGGGGGCCTGCCGCGATTAACCTGGCCTCCTCGCGTCCGCGTACGTCGCGCGTTTCCCATCGCGTCCTACGGAACGGCGTCCTAACCGTCACCTTTTTACAGGTAGAATACTCGTTTCCACCGTTGGTGCCTGGCGCGCCTAACGAGTGCCCGTTGGGATGGAAGTATCTGCCCACGCTCGCTCTGCCCGATGGTTCGCATAACTACGACGAGGACACGGTCTATTTTCACTTACCTAGTCTGAACGATCCGAAACGTACGATCTACGGCATTTCGTGTTTCCGCCAAATACCCGTGGAGGTATGCCGAAGTCTCTTTTATCTTAATACGTATACACACAATTGTTTGAACTGTGGAACGAATGTGTCAAGTCTCCCTCGTAACGTAACTGTGTCCGCAGAAACTGAAGAATCGCACGTCCGATATAACGAGGGGCACTGTTCAGAAGTCAGTTTGCGTGCTGAGCACTTTGCCCCTGTACGGACACATTCAAGTGAAAATGGCCCTGATAACGCACGCGTATTTCGAAGAGGGGGATTTCAGCAAAGTGTCCTTACTAGAGGATACTTATCATCATCTTAATTCATGTATGAGCGGCGAGAGTCAGATACCGCCGCAAATCTTTGTTGGTAAGCATTCATCAACAGATATTTCTGTTTTATAAAATCACGTCGCGTCTACATTGTATACAAATTGTTTACAGGCTTGTCCGCAAGAGACTTTATATTGCAATTCCGTCACAAAGTGTTGCTCCTGTTTAAATTGCTCCTGCTTGAGAAAAGGATAGTTTTTTACCAGTCGCCCGTGCAGCCGCTGTGCGCCACGATACTGACTCTACTGTCGCTTTTTCCCAACATGATTGAGCACGGTCTCCAACAAGCGGCTTGTGTGAGGTAGCTTGTGGAGATGTTTCAATAAAGAGTGACCTCAAAAACAGGTGGTTGTTTCGCCCATTTTTTTGGGCCCTCGATTTTTTGGGATTGAATTGTGTACCAAATGACACCTTATAATGAGGTATTAATTAGAGAGGAGTTTTAGGTTGAGATAACAATTGTTATCACAGCTAGAGGTGGGGATTTTTTTACATCCAAAACGAGCGTCATTTATGTAAAACTGTGATCAACTTTCATCGGCTGGATCAATCTTAAAATACAGGACCTCGCAAACCTGTGATAATTCTTTTATATATATATATATATATATATATATATATAAAATGAACTTTGATTTCATCTCCCTCTCCTCCAGCTCTGATAACAATTGTCACCTCAACTTGAAACTTTCTATAATTAATGTCTCATTAGAAGATATCATTTGGCACACAGTTTTTAGTCTCAAAATCGAGGGCCCAAAAAACGGGCGATTTTTTGGGTCGCTCTTCATTAAGACAAAGACATTTGACAGCAATAAACAGTTCTTTTCTTTTTTTTTTTCAGACCATCCAGGCCGATGTCTCCGATTCCGACTTTCGACGAGGAAGAGATCTCAATGAATAACATCGACGATTCCAACTTGTCGTGCGCTCGTATCGTCAAGGACAATATGTCGAACGCGAGTCACGACGAGCAGTGCAACGATAACAGCAACCGAAACTCCCTGTGCATCAACGACAACAAGACCATGGAGTCGATGGAGGGCAAGTGCTTGGACGGGCTGCAGCACGTGACCCTGCAGAAGAATAACAACGACAACGAGAATCTAAATATGAAGGTCATCGAAATAGAGTCGGCGCAGGAGTGCACCGAGTCCTACTTGGAGGAGAGCAATTCCAAATACTCGCCGAAGCCGAACGATAACGTGCACAGGGTGCATAGCGTGAACGCCATCACGTTGAGCACGGGCGACACGGATAACAGCTTACCTCGCGACACGAGTAGCGACGCGCTTTCCGACGCGAGATTAACGAACAACATTACGCAAATCGCGCACATTAACCCGGAGCTGTGCGGCCTGCCTTTGGAGTTGTTTACGAAGGTAAATGACACCCCTGATGTTGTATTTGTCATATATTATTCCGGAGAATATTTTGCATATACATTGCAAAAATATGTGTTTGTGTGTTTTAGGGATATCTCTGCTTACCTTACCTATCTCTGCCCTACTTGGATCTCTTGGGGGACGTTAACGTCAGAGGATATATAGTAGGCGCTACGAATGTGCTGTTTAAACAAAAGAAGCAGCTCATCGATGTGCTAATCGAGGTGAGCTTTAAACAAGTGCTAGTTTGCATGTCTGAATACAAATGCGGTTTTCGATTTGTAATCGCGCGCGAAACTCTTCTTCACGAAAGGCCGAAAACACGCGGATAGAGGCGACCGATCCCGAGCTGAGACGGCAGCTGCATCTCACCACCGAGGACCTGCGATTCGCCGATTACGTCGTAAGGCACGTGGCCGAGCCTCGGAAGGACATTTTTCTCGACGGGGTCGGATGGGAGGGCGGCGACGAATGGATCAGAACGCAGTTCCGGGTGTACCTGCTGAGCATGCTGCGCACCTCCATGCAGCAGGACACCCGTCAGTCGGACCACTACAATGCGGCATTCATGTCCGCGTGGCGCGCCACGAATAATTACAAGACGTGGTGTAGCGCGAGCAAATCAGAGATACACAACATCGAGCCCGGTCATCCCTTCGCCGGTCAGCTGTCGGTCCAGGATATGAAATTACGGTTGTCACAGTAAGTGAAGTTCTAAAAATAAAATAAATATTTACAGTGTAAAGAAAAAAATAAGCGAATTTTGTCCATTGCTTTTTATGCTTAACTTTATTTAATTGAGAGTACAATATTTAAGAAAAAAAACTAAACGTCATTGTTTCAGCACGATGCAGAACACGGAAAGCGGCAGAAAGTTGAATCAGGCGATGGCATCGACTGGGCGCGCGGTGGCCACCACTGGGAAAGCCGTGGGTAAGAATTGCACACGATTTATTGATTTAAATACAAGACGGACGATAGAGCATTTAAATGTATCGTCAATTTCTAAATACAAATATTTCTTTCGTAAACCGCATATTAATATTTGTTAAAAAAATAATATACGTGTGCGCGTATTGTATTTTTTTTATATTTATTCTATTTTACACATACACAGTTTTAAATCTAATTATTAGTCTAAAAAAAATCATAATCGGCAATATTGTATTTTTTTAATATTATATTTTACAGTTTGAAATCTAATTATTAGATTTTAAAAAATCATAATCGGCAATATTAAATGTAGCTTAATTTCACTTAACATTTAACGCGATCAGAATCGTATGCGCATAGAAGTTATTATTCTTGAAATTAACAATTTACAAGGGGGAGCGCTGTCACAAGCGAAAGGGGCATTCTCGAACTGGTGGAGCACGCTGACGACAGTTCAGCCGGTCGACGAAGCAAAGATTGACAATCAAACGACAAACAACCATCACACGGTGTCCAGCGTCACGGACAAAGAGTCTGTCGAAGACGAGGAGATGAATATCTCTACTACGAATAACGCGGATCTCACCGTAGACTTCGATTAATACGGAAACGTATGCCGATGAGAGGCTGAAGATCGCGAGTGACTGAGGCTAAAAATACAAGATACTCGGACACTGGTAAAGATAATATATAATGATAAGTAAAATTGAAACGAAAGATTCTTGCAAAGACTCGTGTAGTTGAACGGCCGAATTTTTTTAAGCACTTGAGTTTTCAGCGAGAGAAAGTATAAATTAAAATCGCGTACGTACAACAGACTATATTTAATGTGATACGCGGCTTCGCAAGAAGACTTCTTTTCTAGGCAAATGCTAGGAGCTAAGCTGATACATTGCTGATTTGAGTACAAGTTTTTTGTAATTTTCGCCGAATATTCTGTATATATAATTTCTATATGGTTTATATATTTGTAAGATATGTGATATAATTTCGTTACAAAAAGACACGTGAGACCATCGTCGGTGGTACCCTCTACTCAATTTTTTTTCAATGTTGCGTGCAATTGAGCGACGCTCTATAAAGACGTCAATCAATTTTAAACTGTAAGCAATGGGGAAAGCATTTTTTTCAGTCACAAATCTTAATTATTCTCGAGGGCTATTCTACACACACGGACATATATATACTACAGTAATATTGTTTCGTTTATACGTAGAGATATTCTCGCTTAAGAAGTACCTGCATCCTCTGTACATAACAAAAAGTAGTGCAAGGTATATTACGCGCGCACGTTTACATCGCGACTGTCACGACTAATTTCTCATCCGAGCTTTGCGTATTTATTTCGACGGGATATTCGTCTCGTTTATCTCGCTCGAATCGGTAGACTACATTCTCCTTTAGATACGTGAAAAAAAGAAAGAGAAGAGTGGTGAGTGTTTGATATACGCCACATCGCGCGTTATATCGACCGTGGCAAATTTCTATCTAGCAGGGTTCAGTATTTCGTATTGTCGTGAATATACTGGGTTTACATGTAGAGAGAGAAAGACAGAGAGAGAGAGAGAGAGAGAGAGAGAGAGGATTCGCGCGGAAAGTTCGGAAACTGGGACAGCCGATATCCGACAAGACATAAACATTGTACATTGTTCCATAATTCATTTCACTAAAAGGCTAATCCTGTTATTGACAATATTGCTACCTCCATTTATTGTCGAGATTACACCGTACGATTAGTTCCCGTGTATAACACGACGATCCCTTAATAATTCTCGATAGATCGGCAAATGAAAGATCTAAATCATGATAGATAGTTGTTAAAGTAATCTTGTATCCGTCGGAATAAATTGTTAGTTTTGACCGTCAAGAGATCGTGGACGATCATTCGTGGGACGGGGAGCTGCCGTTTAAACGTAACAGAATTACGATTCAATTAAGCTTAGAGCACACACGTGTAGGATCATTTATAGCGCTATACTAGCGTAGTCATTATGGTAACATACGTATATCTGATTAAGGTAAGAAGGTTTTTCTCCGCCGCAATATTCGTAATTACGCGAACGTGTTATTAATTTACGATTCTCCTCCCCCACTTGCAGAGCTTAATCGTACTTAATACTCATTCTATTTTTACACCGTCTTTTTTTTTTGTTTTGAACAAGCGAATCTCAAACGGCCACATTTGGCGCTGAATGACGATTTTTGTTATACAGATCCGTAAAATCGATCCGTTAAATTTTATTTTAAATTTTATCTTAAGCCGTTATTTAATAGAAGGCGATACGTAGGAATTATTATGCGAGCTGTTTATTTTGAAAGCGATCGACAGTATCTAATCTCAATGGCACGTTTTATCTCACTTAAATCTGTGCTAACGCGACACACATCCACAAACAAACACGCGCACACACACACACACACACAATAAACAAATAGACACACACAAAACTACCACTGTTTTCAGAATAAACGGTTCACATATGCCAGTCTAGTTTAAGTTATTATAAGTGCATCTTTGTGATATTTAGTTCATCATAAATCAACGACTCGAATTGAATTCTCCGTAGATTCGGTGTTTTAGGGTACGTATACTTTATTTATGTAAGTAAAAGGTGTGCCAAATGTGGAACGTGTACATTTTTAGAGGAAAGTATCGATGTGTGAGTGTAATGTATTTTGCAATTAAACGGCGTGATGCAAATTCAGGCGAAATGATCAAGCCGCTAATCAACGAAATCGGCACTGAACGTTTAATAATTTTAATAAACTTCTTTTTATTAAACGTTCAATAAAATTATCGTCCTAAATAAAGATTTTTCACGAACCCTTGCCATTAAAGAAAAATATGTGAATCCTTTTCGAACGATCCATATATTCGAATTTATGTGATGAATTTTGCTCGCGCTGTTCTTTGAAATTATTATATGAAAATAGATATGTAAAGTATAGATGTTTTTATTTATAATCCTTTTTAATACGTGTACATACATTTTATTTATTACAAGACATATTTTTCAGCGACACCACAAAATTATTATAGGATATTTTTAATATACTTCCTTAGCCGTTAAGATTTATGCTTTGCGATCAAATTACAAACACATTCTATGTATCAAGAATACAAGCTGATTTATCACCGATCGAGATAACAAAAATGGTAGAAAAAAAAAATAATTCGGCGATCCTTTCGCACCACTTTAGATGCTATATTATCGCGAGGGGAAGTTATTTACGACTCTCCCTCTCCCTCCCTTCCCCTCACATTGAATATAATTGAATATGTTTTCTATATTTATAAAACGCGAGTTTGTACAGCTTACGAAAATGTAAGGAGAACGGAGCGTCGCACGATCTGAGAAACAACTCGTTATGTATTGTATTCTATGACTGTAGTATCACAACGTTCATCAAAATACTAAGAGAAAATAATATATCCAATTCTGAATGTGTTCTCAGGTGGTCCTTTTTGCATGACGGATTATCGTCATCGTATTTATCTTTTTTTTTTTTTCATTGGGATATACAGTACAGCGGAGACTTTTTAATTGCCGATAACTTGCGCCTATATTTTATTTGCATTTGCGTCGGAATTGTTATTCAATTATTTACGCGCGAGAAAAACCGGTGTGAACGCGTCTTTAAAATCTCTCATGCCCCGCGCGCCGCGCGGCGCGGATACGGCACGGGCGCGGGCTAGTAGGGAAACGAAAGCGAGAACCGGGGATGATCTCGCCGCGAGCCGTGACTGGTCGGCCGATGCGCCGCCGAATAAACATCGTAGCTCACCGATAATAGCCGAAGCGCCGTAAGGTGCCGCGTTCGGCTTGCGGGAGCGAGACAGAGAGGATAGGCCCGTGCGAACGCCATGGTGTGTGACTGGCAACGTCACTGTCGTCGTCGTCGTCGTTGCCGTCGCCGTCGCCGCCGCCGCTGCTGAAATTCCGCGTCGTCGTGAGTGGCAGCGAAACGTAGTCGAGGCGGGCCGCCGCGTTTCCGCGAGGCGTCGCGTAACGCAGACTGTACACAGTTCGGTCGCGCGCGCGCGCGCGCGAATCGCCAATTCGGACGGCCGCGACGCGATCGTCCGTGCGTGATTGTGTACCGCGAGTCCGCGGGTGAGCGAGCGAGCGAGCGTGCGTGCGTGCGAGTGAGAGGAGGGCGAAGAGGAAAGAAAAAAGAAACGTATATGTAAAGCGCGAGAGACGGACGCGCGCGGTGCCGCGTCGCCTTTTTTAAAAGTCCCTCTCGTCGTGTGTCTCTCTCATTCGCGCGCGCGTGTCCCGCCGTAACACCGCGTGCGGAACCACCGTCGTCATCGCCGCCGCGCGCCGCGCCGCACACCGTTCCGCTTCGCTCCGCTCTCCGCTCCGCTCCGCTCCGCGCCGCGCCACGCCGCGTTTGCGTCGCGCCGCAACGCAACCGTGCCAGTGCAGTGCCGCGCCGTAACGCGCGGTGCAGTGTGTACACGTACGAGGCCGCGTGTGCGCGCGCGCGCGCGCGTTGTGTCCGCTCGCGCGTGTCTCTCTCTATATACACGCGGTGTGTGTATATGAGTGTACGTGTCGCGAGAGTGTGCCTCCCGTGTGTTTGCGCTTCTGTGTATCGAGAAGAGAGTGCGTTACGGTTCCTACCGAGGTGAGCTTTTTAGTACGGATACTGCCGGGCGAGCGAGCGAGAGTGCGGCCGACGCGCGCCGCGTTTACCGGCATCCCAGGATTTCGCTCGTGTTATCGTTTCCCCCCTCCTCCCTCCGTCGTGCCGCCCGTCATCCGTCGCCGTCCGTCGTCATCGTCGTCATCGTCGTCATCGTCATCGTCGTCGTCGTCGTCGTCGTCGTCGTCGTCGTCGTCGTGTTGTACACTCCTCGTGTGATCGTCGTCCGCCGCCCCGGTCCCCGCGTCGTGTCTCTTCAGTGTCGCCAGTTAAACGACCCGGTGCATCGTGACCGCGGTGAGCCCGCGGCCTCCCCGGGTGGGCTCGCGGTGGGCCCCCCCCGTCGCAAAAGAGTGCGCCATGCGAGAGAGGGATAAATCGGTGACTGGCAGGCGGCGGCCATCTTCCAGATGAGTTTTTCCTCCTTTCTTCCGATAAACGAAGCGCGCTATGCCGTGAGGGAGAAGGACGGCGAAGGCGAGTGATCGTAAGAGAGGACCGACTGATAAAGCGAGAAGGGGGAGAGAAGGTGAAGCGCGAGAGAGAAGAGAGAGATATAGAGGAGGAGAGAGACAACTTTCGGCGAGAGGTGGAAGAGGTGCGAGGGGGAAGGAAATTGTCCGCGTCTATCATATATGCGACGAGAGATGCGGTGAACGGCGCGTGCTGCTCGGCGAAGTCACGAAATTTCACGAGCGCGTGTCGCCGCCTCGACCAGCCTTCGCTACTCGCCGAGTGCGACGAGAGGAAACGGTTCGCTGTTGCGCGCGCGAGGAAGAGAGACGGGAACGTATTAGGAAGTGCGCTGCTTGCCGCGCGTGTAGGAGAGAGAGAGAGAGGAGAGGGAAGAGAAAGAGAGAGAGACAGGCAGAAGGGACGGCAGAGCGAACCAGAGCGGAAGACGGAGAAAGAGACATACCGCGTGTGCGGGGGAAGAAAACGGAAGCGTTGCGGAGTGAAAAGAACACGGAGAGGCCTGACCCCCTATCGCCGCGCGTTTCGTCCGTAATCGCGTCGTTTTCGCGTGAACGCGGCGAGAGGAGACCGCCGGCCGGAACGAAGAAGGAAGAGAGAAGAAAAACAGGAGTACACAAGAGGAGTCAAAGGAAAAAGAGAAAGAAACAAGTGAGTCGCGACGCGCGTCCCGTCGGGGGTACCGTCGTCTCTTTCTTGCGGTCTCGAAGGAGTGCGTTGTTGGAGCGGTGAATCGATTACTCGCCGTGTGTAACCTCCAAGTCTCCGGCTGGACGTCGCGAGAAGACTGGGAGGCGGCCGGGAGGGAGGGCGGGAGGGAGGAAGGCAGGCAGGCAGGCAAGCACAGGCAGGCCTCGACGACCCGAGCCATCGCCTTGTCGTCGTCGTCGCCGCCGTTGTTGTCGCCTCGCCTCGCTTCGTCCCGTCCCGTCCCGTCCATCCCGTTTCGTCTCGCCTCGTCTCGCCTCGCCTCGTCTTTCACGTTCGACTCTCTCGCGCGTCTACCACGCAAACTGAGCCGTTTTTCGAGAGCGGGTTGCGCGAAGCCCGCTCGGGGATAACATCAGCGCGCGGAGGCCAATCGCGGCCGATAACATTCCGATAATATTCGCGGTAACATTCGCGCCGCGGACGCCGCAGAATCGCGGGACGGATCGCAGACCGGGATTTTCTCTTGCGGAAGATCGGATCGATCGGCGAGAGGTTTAAACGGCCGGTCGCGCCGACCGTGTCAGCCGTCTGTCTCGATCAATTTGCTCTCTCTCTCCCTCTTTCTCTCTCTCTTTGGCCAAAAGCCGGCGCCTACGCGGTCGGTATTGTTGCGCTGTAATTTTGTCGACGCCGAATGTCGGGGCCAAGTAAGGTCCGGGGGACGCGACGAACCGTGAGAATAAGTGACGCGATCCTACGCGAGCAAAGACGCGGCCGTGCGTCCTGGGGACACGCCGCGATCGTGTACGTACCGTCGTTCACATCCGACGTCGCGTCATTAATAATCCCCTCGTGTGCGACTCGGCGTTAACTGCGACACGAGGCAGAGAAAAAAAAGGAGTTTTAATTATCGGCGATTAACGCCATCTTTAAGATTTCAAAGCGAGAGCCTCGTCGTTCGATTTTTAAGCGACTTTTTTTTTGTACTCCTACATTATGTCCCGACACGCGATAGAAATTCGTTCGAATCGATTGAACGCGATATCGCGTGCCGCCGTCCGCGTCGATCCGTCCCGCGTAGTTCGGGCTTAAGTCCGAGCGGCCCTCGAAAATGCCGGGCGCCCTTGGTTTACATCGGGACATAACCTCATCCCTCACCTCCTTAGGATCCGTTTGAATTTCGCGAGGATTTCGAGCGTCGTTCTTTCCAGCTGCATTTCTTACTCTTTTTTTTTATTTTTATGTTATTCTTAACAAAACATACATTCGTCCGCTCTTTCAAAACAGAGCGAAAACAAATGAGACTCGCGACGTGGATAATGTTTCACTTGTCATACGAATTTGTCAACAAATTCTTCAAACGTGTTGATTGATTGCAAGATAATGTCCAAAGACTCGGAGTGAACTTCTCTGTCGCGCGGCCGTTTGACAGTGCTTTGAAAAATTTGTCGCGCGACGAGTGTAATAATGGTACCCGTAGAAAAAAAAAATCGGTTTCCAGCGGAAAGTTCATCGCGTGCGCGTTACATCTTTTTCTTTTTCTTTTTTTTTCTAACGTTCGAATTTCGCGCTCGCGTTCATTCGGGATGGGTTTCCGATTTATCATGCCGCCATTATGCGCATTGCTGCACCTGGTAGTATACTCTTACGTAGCGGCACGTCAGCCTGTCCCCCCCCCCTCCACCCCCCTCTCCCCTCTTGGCTTTCCTTCTGATATTACGGCGGATGAGCGCACGGTGAAATTAATGTATTCCCGAGGTGAAAATCTCTCGCGCGAGTATTCGGGCCCGTGCGCGGATAAGGATACTCGAGGATACGCGCAAAGTGGCGCGCCGTCGATTCGCCGTCCGATCGTCGCTTATTTTCTCCCGGGATTCATCCGTTCGTTATATTCGTGTAATTCCTCCGGACGGCCGGCCGACTCGATAATACGTACAGTAACACCGTACGTCGTTAATGAATTCCTAGCGCAGACGGTTATTCCGGCTCTAATTTGAGAAGCGATACGCGATTCGCCTCGTTAACACGATCGATCCGTTCGCGGCCGGCTTTGATTCCCTTCGATGAGACGACGACGAAGACGACGACGATGACGACGGGAGGGGTATATATCTCGTAATAAGAGGATAACGGTGCTCGTAACGTGCGGCGCGGCGTGCGCACGTGTCTTCCCCGGGAACGAACGGAACGAAGTACTCCGCGGAGCAAGGCCAAATATTTGTCGCACGACAAATTCTTTCGGGCTTTGTGTCGATTGGCCGCAGGATAGAGATGTGATTCCGAGAACATCGAACTTCCTCAGCCTACGGCCAATCGAGGAGCTCGAAAAATTCGCCATACGCAGATGTAACGCCGCGACGGGCCTGAGCCTCGAAGCGCGGAGACGGCCGATCGATGATAAAGCGTTCGATAGGACAATCGTCGGCGATTAAAGTGGACCGACCGGCTCACAAGTCGAAAAACGGCTCAGAAGAGAGAAAAAGAGAGAGAGAGAGAAAAATGGAAAACGTAGCGGTTGTGTAGACGCGCGTGATCGTTGATGTTACAGAGAGGAGATCCCAGCTTCACTTGTCGGCGGAAGTGGTGGCCCACCGCGGGCGGCCGGGAGTGCGCGAAAACCTTTACGGATGGTCCTCGCGGTGCGGTGCGGTGCGGTCCAC